TCTATTCCCCTCAGTCTGAGTCTGAGTCTGAGTCTTCCCTCCGCGAGCTTATGCCACACGCCCCCATCCATCACTCCGTCCTCTTTATCGCCATCCTGCCCATCACCCACATCGTCTCCAGCCGCCAGATCCCAGCCCGCCCTCTCCAGCGCGGGGCCCCATCAGACCGTCTTGTCTCGCTCCCGAACGCTGTCTTTTTTCGGCAATTTTTTGCTACTTAAACTTTTGCCTCGGGTCTCCCTCCGCCTCCGTCTCCGCCCCGACCGTCCACAGCCCCAGGCCTCGTCCCTTGCCTGCCCGGCCTGGCGCTTCCGCTGCCTAGACTGCGTTCCTGTCTGGCTCGGACTCGGAGTGCGCCTGCAATGCAATTCAGTACGCGCGCGTTACGCTACCGACTAGACACACTCGCGAATCGCTCGTATTTTCGCCCGCCCAGGGCTCGCCTCTCCTGCATGGTTCGTCCCATATCTGCCACATCAACCTTACTCTATCCGTTGGATCGTCTCCATCGTAATAATCCGCCTCTGCGCCTGATCTGCCACGATACCTATCCGCACGGTCATATGCTCTTCCTTTGATGTCCTCTCTCCCTTCTCGTCCTTCTCTCACGTCAGCTGCATCTCGCTCGACTCTCTCTTTAGCTCCCAATAGCTCGCGAGGATCTTCCGCGCTCGCCTCCCTCCTTCCCTCCCACAGCCGTGGCTATCTTCTCTCCTCTCCGGCGGCAGTCACCTCTGCTTCCTCCATCCCGCCCTACCTTCACCCCTCCGCTCTCCGTCTATTACCGGACAACTGTGGGACTTCGTAATGCAATCGTCCGCCCGACGTTTACGCCATCGTCGTTGACGTCTTGCTTCCGCGTGGATCAGCTGTGAGAAAGCCGGGTCACAAGCGGTTTAGCTGCCTCACGCGTACGGTTCCGTCGAGCTGTATCTTAGCGATGCCACCGCCCGACGCAATGTGCATCCCGTCCGCCCGTCTTCTTGACGCTCCTCTGTGCATGCGTCCCACCCGATCCCGTCCCCCCTGCCCGCGGCGAAACTGGAAGAGGCGAAGCCACAGCGATCCACGCCGCGTGGGCGCAGCTGAGCCGTGTTTGTATAATTGTAGGATTAATATAGATGTTAAATTCGACCCGAAAGAGTGCCTCGAGTCCCTGAGCCATGCTCTCTTCGTCGTGTTTCGCTCGGGACCGTGGCGGACGCGCCTCCCGCGCGCGTCTCGGCCGACAGATTAGCGCCCATTGTGGCGAACGCGCTTGCCAAAGTTGCCATATCTGGACCGGGAAGAGCGCTCCGCTAATACGCAGCTGCTTCGACCACGACCACAGCGACCGCGCGCCACGGGCCCATACACACACACCCGCTCGCTTGTGCATACAGTAGTGCGTTCGGTGGACGTCTTGAACCTGGGCCTGAATCTGTGACGGAAGTTCGACAAAAACGCCTCGATCGCCCCCCCCCGGCTCCCTCGTGTTCATTAAGCCTTTCGCGCGATGGCGTCCACGAGCAAGCAGTACAAGGCCGTAGGCGAGGATCTCTGGAAGGGCCGCACCGAGAAAATCGTGAGGCCGCCTCCGTTCGCTCTCGATACGTACCGCGGCCGGGGAGGGCCGGCGTATTGACGGGCTCAGGGCCACAGAACGCAGAGCTGTTCGCGTTGACGTACGGCGCGCTCGTCGTGCAGCTCATCCAGGACTACGAGGACTACGCGGAGGTGAACAAGCAGCTCGAGAAGATGGGCTACAACATCGGCACGCGCCTCATCGAGGACTTCCTCGCCCGCAGCAACCTCGGCCGGTGCGCGGACTTTAGGGAGGTCGGCGAGGTCGTCGCAAAGGTGCGTGCGTGCGTGCTTGCGTGCGGTCCAGCCCAGCCAAATCCTGGCATGGCAGCCGGCCCCTTTGCCCCAGGAACGTACGAGGCGATCTCATATCCGTGTTTGCTGGCTGTGGTGTGGTGCATCGTGCTCTGTGCCCTTGCAGGTCGGCTTCAAATCCTTCCTCAATATCACGCCCAATGTCACCCACGGCGCACAACCCGTCGCCTCCTCTCCGACCCGGACAAGCATGCCCCCACCGCAGGTGAACGCTCCGGGCGCGACGTTCACGCTGCAATTCGACGAGAACCCGCTCGCGGAGTTTGTCGAGCTGCCCGAGGAGGCCCTCGAGGGGGGCTTATGGTTCAGCAACGTCCTCTGCGGCGTTATCAGAGGCGCGCTGGAAATGGTGCGTGCTCTTCCTCCGCCGATCCCGCAGCGTGCAGGGTCGTGCGGTGTGGCTTATACACACCATGTCGGGGTCTGGTGATTGACGCTACCGCAGGTCCAGATGCAGGTGCAGGCCGCCTTTGTATCGGACGTACTCCGCGGGGACGAGACGACGGAGATCCGCGTGACGCTCGTGAAGTACCTAGAGGAGGAAGTGCCCGTGGGCGACGACTAGATATACCGAAGTATGGATGTACAATAGTTTTGCACGGTACACGATGCAGCAGCACTCCTTGCGGCCACACGCCGAGCAGGCACACTGCCCTTCGTGGGACGGGTGCCACCGGATGGACGTAGGGCTCGAGCCCCCACAGACCGCTCCCAAACGGAGGTGAAGTGCAGCCCCAAACGAGCACGCAAATCCCGAACGAAACCTACACATATGCGTCCGGCGACGATCAGCGGGCACGGACACGGGAGCACAGCGTGGCGTGAAGCGCACTCACCAACGAAGACGAACCCCTCGCTTCCGGCCCAGGCCCCCACGCGGAGACAGAGAGAAAGAGAGCGCGCGAGCCCACGAGCTCGGGCGCAGGCGCAGGCTCAGTTGTACCGCTCGACGCGGTTGAGCTTCCGCGCCGTGCGCGCGTTGCTCTGTGTGTTCTGGCCCCGGACGGGGAGGTGCATCGCGTGCCGCCGCCCGACGTAGCTGCCGATCATGCGCTGGTGCGCGATGTTCTCCCGCATCTGCCTGCGCAGGTCCGACTCGATCTTGATCTCCCGCAGGCGGTCGGCGGGCTGCGCCGCCGCCGGGACCTCGGGCGCGGACACGGGCTGCCCGAGCGGGGGCGGGACGTGGTTCGGCGCGGCGAGCGGCTGCACGGTGACGGGGGGCGAGTTGGCGGGCGAGGAGAGGAAGGCGGTCAGGGCGGTCACTTGGGACTGGTTCAGGTGCCGGACTCGACACCGGTCGTGGATTTGCACGCGGGCGCAGAGGCGGAGGGCGGTTTTCTGGCCGATACCGTAGAAGTGTGTCAAGGCATGCTGCAGCGGGCATTAGTCACTCAAGCTCATTTATGCGTGATACAAAGTATTTACCTTGACAAGCTGGTTCTCAGGAAGGAGCACGCCGAGGATATGCATGGTGAAAGAGTCGAGCCAGCCCGGGAGACCAGAGAAGGTGGCAGCGACGGCGGAAGGAGCAGTCGACGTAGGCGCCCATGTCACCGTCTGCACGCACTACCACGGGCGCCTACCCCGCTTGTCCTTGTTCCCCGTCGTCCACCATGTCCACCAACAAAGCGGAAGGCCGCCGCGAGGACGCCCTCGCGAAGCAGCGCACCCAGATGCGCGAAGAGTTTGAGCGGCAGAAGCAGACGCTCATCCAGGAGACGGAGAAGGCCCGCCCGTCCGCGAACCGCTTCGTAGGCCAGAATGATTCCATGGAGGACACGCTCAAACAGAGCACCGTTGGTCTCGTCCGGCTGGAAGATTTCCAGCAGCGCAGGAAGGAACTCGAGGAGGCGAAGGCGCGTGAGGCGGCGCGGACAAACGAGCTCAAGTATGTCGACATTTCTCTCGCTTATGGTCCGTAGGCTTGTGTACGGTCGAGTCCGATGGCTTACTTTGCGTGGAGAATCCGTTTAGAGAGGAGAAAAAGGTGAAGAAGCGCAAGAAGACAAACAAGGCCACGCTCTCATTCGCACTGGACGACGAGGAGGGTGAAGAGAGCGGCTCTGCGTCTCAAAATGGCGAGTCCAATGAACCTCCCGTGAAGAAGGCGAAGTCGCGCAAGAACCCCGAAGTGGACACGTCCTTCCTGCCTGACCGCGAACGCGAGGAGGCGGAACGCCGGGAACGCGAGGCGCTTCGTCAGGAATGGATACGCCGACAAGAGGAACTCAAGAATGAGGAAGTCGAGATCACCTATTCCTACTGGGATGGCAGCGGACATCGTAAGAGCGTCACGGTAAGTCCGATCCCAAGAACACACCCACCAGCGGGCCTGACCACGTAGGTATATGCACATGGAACGCCGATACCCGTCACATAGTGCAAGAAGGGTGACTCCATTTCGACGTTCCTTGAGAAGTGTCGGCAGCAGTTCCCGGAGCTGCGCGGTATCAGCGTCGACAACCTCATGTATGTCAAGGTATGACAGCGGCTTCGTCGGTAGTAATGTCACCTATTGATTACGCTTGTCCTCAGGAGGACCTCATCATCCCTCATGTACGCTTAACAAGCTTTCGCACAACTATACTTGCCGCTGACGTCGCCACCTAGCATTACACCTTCTACGACTTCATCGTCAACAAGGCTCGTGGGAAGTCCGGCCCGCTGTTCAACTTCGACGTGCACGACGACGTGCGTCTCCTTGCTGACGCCACCGTCGAGAAGGACGAGTCCCATGCGGGCAAGGTGGTCGAACGAAGTTGGTATCAACGAAACAAGCATATATTCCCAGCTTCCCGATGGGAGGTACGCCACATCCTCGCGTGAGTGCCGTACTGGCAGCTGACCATGTCGCTCCCAGGTTTACGACCCGGACAAGAACTATGGGAAATATACCATTGCCTGAGTTTGGCTCTTCTTTCTATGTTCAGCTGCACGTATGTATCAATTGCTTTCAATCAAATGGCGAAACTAGACGTGCGAGAACGTCTATGTCGTACCGTTACCTTTCACCTCAATGGGAACCGACTCGGTGATATGGGCTTGTGGGAGCCAGTTATGATCTTCCGTGAAGCAGACCTTAGCTTGTCGTGAAAAAACAAGACGAGGCCAAAGACAGACGCCAGGGGCGTGGATTGAACACGCGACCTCCAGAACGCGCGACTGCCGCTTCAGTCTGTTGCTCTCCCAGCTGAGCTATCCCGGCGTTCTCTTTCACACCTTTTAGCGGAATATATAGCTATATACCACCCCCGGACGTCATCGACGTCTCGCTTGAGCTGCTTTGGGCTGAACAGCCGGCTTGCCTTTGCTCATTACACTCGTCCCGCTAGGGTTCTCTCCTGAAGTGATACTGCCAACATGTCGGGAACGGGACCTCGGGAGAACATCTTCCCTACGCGGATGGCTCTCACAAACACGAAGCTCCGCCTGAAGGGAGCACAAACCGGCCACTCCTTGCTCGCGAAGAAGCGCGATGCTCTGACCACCCGTTTCCGGGCTATCCTCCGCAGAGTAGATGAAGTGCGTGCTCTACAACCCATCGTCCTGCCAAGCTTGGTTTCTCATGCTCTTCTATTCATAGGCGAAGCGGAAGATGGGACGCGTGATGCAGCTCGCGTCGTTCTCGCTCGCGGAGGTCACGTACGCGACGGGCGATATCTCGTATCTCGTCCAGGAGCAGGCCAAGTCGGCGTCCTTCAAAGTCAAGGCGAAGCAGGAGAACGTCTCCGGTGTCGTCCTGCCCGCGTTCGAGGTCGACAGGGTCCCCGGATCAGGTGCGTACCATCACGCATCCCGTAGGACATTGACATGCTCATAAGGAGTTGATCAGACTTCAACCTCACTGGTCTTGGCCGTGGTGGCCAGCAAGTGCTACGCGCAAAGGAGGTGTACGCGAAGGCGGTGGAGACACTGGTCGATCTGGCCTCCCTGCAGACGGCCTTCATGATCCTGGATGAAGTCATCCGTGCAACCAACCGACGAGTGAACGCCATCGAGCACGTCGTTATTCCTCGTCTCGAAAACACCATCAAGTACATTACGAGTGAACTCGATGAGATGGATCGAGAAGAGTTCTTCCGGTACGTCCCTGCGCTATCGGTTTGTACGGCGGCCCAGGGTGCTTATGATATCCACCCTATCCCAGTCTGAAGAAGGTGCAAGGCAAGAAGAAGCGAGATGCGGAGGCAGCGGAGGCTCTCAGGAAGAACCAGGAGGCTGCCGAGATAGTGGAGGTTGCGCCGGACCTTGCGGGCGGAGGGGGCGATCTCCTTGGCAGCAAGGACGAAGATGTCATTTTCTAACTCCCGATACCAGCTCTGCTTTGGACGCTTTCCCGTTGTCTTTCGTATCATCAAATGCGATACCCATCTTCCCGTGTACAATACAAATGCAGAGCACTGCTAGCGGCCACCAACAGCCCTTTTCTGCGAGCGAGCCCGTCGATGGGAATGCGGCGGGGGCGGCCTGAGGCCCATGTAGCATAAACATGTGCGTAGCGGCATACATACATGCGAGATTTTGCAGAGACGATGCAAGGAAAGCCAGGAAGAACGATGCACAAGGAGAGCCGATGAAATTACTACGGATACCGGTGAGCGACGTCGAGGTTATAGGCGCGATGGAAACACTTACGTCGACCATCTCGACATCCTCACCCGTCTTCGCGCTCTTCTTCCTGTCCTTGCGCTCAAGGATTGCCCGCCTAAGACGGACATGAGTGATACAGCCTTTTATCTCAAGTGATTTCACCAACCTGTCCTTGTCCAGCTTGATGGTGGTAACGACAACGTTGCTGGGGTGGATGCCAATGGGGACGGATGCGCCGTTCGACTTGTCGCGCTGGACACGGTCGACGTGGATCACCCACTTCTTGCGGTACACCTGGGTGACCTTGCCCTCGCGACCCTTGTACTTGCCCCGAACGATCCGGACCTCGTCATCCTTGCGGATGGGTATTGACCGCGTCTACGTTCTGTGTTACCCAGGCGCTCGCACACTGTGTGCCAGTAGATTTCGAACGTACGTTGTACTTCGCGCGGAGCTCCTTGGAGAGCGAAGAGGACATGATCTTGCGCCTCACCGAGGAGGGCGCAGAGAAGTGCGCCTTGCGCGACTTGCGGCGGGAGGAGGAAACGTCTGTGCAACGGGAGGCAGCATGTCAGTACGCCGGACTGACCGTACACACCACATCCGAAACGCCTCCGTCCAATCCATCCCATTCCGCCCCTCGAACCGCCACGATATCTCTCAACAGCACCAGGACAGCGTTTCAGCCTGCGACGGAACGGTGCTCACCGGGGTTGAACTTCATCTTGACGGTCTTGAGGATGTCGGCGGTGACGATGGCAGATTTTCCTCCCTCAACGACCAGGCGCGAGCGATTCGGCGGTGACACGTGACGAGGCCGTGTCACACAGGATGCGGTGTGATGCTGTCACGTCTTGAAGCGCCGGTGACTTCATCGCTCGCAGCCACTCTGCGCTCAGTAATCTCGACCTCCACGCTCACTAGCACTCATTTGCCGCTGTTCTGCTTGCTCATTCGATCGGTGTTGCCTGTGCATCTATAAGAATGTCTACCGACAAAGTGCGGCCTACGAAGCTCAAGTTCAAGGGAGAGAAAACGAAGAAGAAGCGCAAGCATGAGGATACCGAGGAGGGCCCTAGCAGGCGGCGGCGCAAGGACGACAACGACGAGGCACCAGAGACGTGGGTGCTCCCCGAGAGCGCGAACGAAATCCGTGGTCCGACATTCATTCTGCATCCCTCCGATCCCTCACCTATCTGTATCACCTACGACTCCACGCGCGGGCGAATCGTCCTTCATTCCGTTGACAAGGACAAGACGGACGACGCTGAGCCCCCAACTATTAAAGACCGCACGCCTACCGATGTCTCGCAGGTGTGGGTCGTCACTCGAGTCGCCGGCTCTGCCACGATCAACCTGCGTACCGGCGTGGGTGAAGGCAAATTCATCTCGTGCGACAAACACGGTATCGTCTCCGCCGATCGCGAGGCACGAGGTCCACAAGAAGAGTGGACACCAGTCGTCTTCCCCGACGGGATGGTTGCGTTTCAGAACGTTTACGAGAAGTACCTCAGCGTAGACGAGGTCGCGGGCGGACAACTCGCGTTGCGTGGAGATAGCGAGGAAGTTGGCTTCCGCGAGCGTTTCTGGGTGAAGGTCCAGAGCAAGTACAAGAAGGAAGCTCACGAGGAAGAGAAGAAGCGCAAGGAGGGTCTAATAGACATGTCCACTGTGGACGAAGCGAACACAAAGTACGTGTGATGCTTAGTGCTATTGCGTCTCAGTAGACTGATCCCTCAGTAGCAAACTGTACCAAGCATGGGGTGCAGGGAGGACCGTCGTGTCATCAGCTGACAAAAGCGAGGTTCGTCCGATTGATCTGTTTACCCATGTTCAACATGTTCATGATTGGTCCCACATTAGTTGAAGAAGGCAAAGAAAGAAGGTCGGCTTGCCGAGGCGCTACTGGATCGTCGAGCAAAGCTGAAGAGGTACGCACATTTAGTACAACTGTACAACATATTTGGCTTACTTCCCTTTCACTAGCGATCGCTTCTGTTGACTACGTCTCTTTCGATGCATAACTTATTCTCAGTGTACTACTACTCGCTATACCTTGATGTTACAAGAAGCCGATCGCTGCTTTACTAGAACACTCACTGCCTGCTACATGTTTGCTACAGACTCACTCAGGCAAGAAAAAAGTAAGTGTAGAGCCGGAAACACCTTTATGACAGAGTGCCCTCACAGGCTATCAAATCCATCGGTAACCATCTTGTACTGAAACTCGGTGAGTTGTCCGGCACTGACCCAGCCGTACATCCAGCGCCGCCACTCCTTCATACTCAACAAGCCTCGCACTGCAGCTTCATCGTTTACGCCGTAGCGCTCGAAAACGGGCAGGATGGAAGACAAGTCTTGCGGGAGTGCTTGCAAGAACTCAAGCACGAACTTGCACGATTTGTCCCCTCGGAACTCCGTAGCCAACGTGGTGGACCTATCGCGGTCGAGCGCAGAAGTACTGTCGGGGGCAGACTTTTCCCCCTGTGACTCGGGGACTTGCCGTCTGCCAAGATGGTCGTCCTGTGTCAAGCGGTCAATACGTGTCGCACGAGACCAGGTGGCGAAGCTATGTACACATACCATCGATATGGTCCCGCGACGGTTGATAATATGAGTGGTCTCGCTCGCTCGCCCGCTTGTGCGCAATCGCGGCCGCCGATCAGTAGGTCGGAGCGTCTTATGTAGCTGCTGCGTCGTTCTCGACGCACACTGAAACGGCTGGACAGAGGGCGTGGTCAGTTACAACGAATGATAACATTGGGAATTCTCCGTGTCCAACACACTGACGTTGCCTCCCAAGCCGCGCCTTGTGATTCCAGTAGAGGATCCGCCCCTTCGCCATTGACGATGCATGGTGATCATCACAGGGATCGGCCACAAGTCCTCATATTTCTCCAGGATCGGATGCGCTTGACAAGCCTGCGTGGGCGCGTTGCCAGTCAGCACGGATACTCTCCTCATACTGCAAGATGACTCGCTAACTAGTTTGTGTACGGTACGCTTGAGCGCTCCGGGGCCTGGCATGTCCTTGGTGTGAGGGAGGTACTGTTCGCATAGCATACCGACCGTGTCCTGCGGCAGTGAACACAGTCGGCGTCGATGCGGGTTCTAGTGAACCGGTGAGAACGTACGGTGATCTCGTAGTACAGCTTGACGTTCTCTGCGCTGTCGGCGAGGCGCATCTGGCGAGCGAGACAGGGCTCCTTCGGGTCCACGATCATGCGCCTGGAAATGGGGCCAGAACGCGGCCGGGGGATCATGCCGCTCATGTCGCAAAGAGAAGTGGTGGGCGTAGTAGGGCACACGGGAGGAGCCCATGCCCCCGAAAGCGCAAGCTCTTATATATCCGCCGTGTTCAGTTCGAAGATGAACCTGGCGACCCTGCAGGTGTCCTTCGACGGGTATACGCGTCGCGTCTCGCGATCACGTGAGCCGCGTTGTCTTCTGCGGTCCCCGAGACATGCACAACAGGGCGTATGAGCAATTAGGTGGATAGAAATTATGCTAAACTAGCGGGGTGTCACACATCGCGCAACTGGTGTCTCCGGGGACGTTCTCGTACGTACATGCTGGACAAGCCACAGGACCCAAGGCCAATGATGGGCTGGACGA